GGACCACTCTTACCTCTTTGGAGGTCATCAACAGTCCCTTACCACATGCCAGTTTTGATTCTATCTGACTTATTTTCCCTTCCGAGCTACACAAATCTGGCCATGCATGATAATCTCCAAATTTGAAGTCAACTCACATGTTTGAACTCTGTATATCTCTATAGTGGCTCCTATGTCAGTGTTGACTTGAGTAGGTAGAGACAAGGTTGTATGCATAGAGTTGGGAGTCTTGGAAGGCACCCTGCCTCCTCCATACTATATCAGCTTATTAAGTCATCATATTTTAGTAACATGTGACTGAACAGTTTACTGAAGATTAAGTTATATATACATATTTAGATGAAGTTATTGGTGCCCCTTTTTTCCCTTCAGAAAGCTTTTTTCAGGTTTGTTTTTTTAGATTTATTTTAATTACAACTCCCCCTTCTCCCTTCCAAACTTTCCCATATACACATAACTCTCCTCACTCACCTTCAATTTCATGACTTATTTTTTCATCAATTGTAATTGGATGCATACAAAATATCCTGTTGAGTCCATATACTGTTACTTGTTATAGGGCTGGACAGCCAATTGGTGTGCTTTTCACTGGGGAATTTCCCCTCTTCTGCTCCCAGATTTACTCAATTACCTATATAGTTCTTTGTGTAGGATTGAGGCCTCATGGTCTTTTCCTCATGCAGTTTAGCATATTTGTTGGTATCCTATTTGTTCATCTCATGAGTGTGGATTTACTGGTGAGACTTTGCCAGTGTACTTTCTGATGCTAGTAGGAGACACAAACTCAACAAAGTCCCTGATCCTCTGACTCTTACATTCTTTCTGTTACTTCTTCCACAATGTTCCCTGAGCCTTAAGTCCAGGAGTCTTTGGTAGATACATCCCTTGAGACTGGGCTCCACCACACTGCATGTTGATTTGTTGTGGTTTTCTCTTGGTGACTTTCAACCAATTTGTACATAAGTGCATTTTGGTAATTTTCATACACAACCTTACTGTTACTCATCCTCCCTTCTTAATTACACCGAAACTCTTCTTTTTCTCAATAAATCCCCTTCCTATATTAATAACTTCCTGTGTTATTACTGTTTCATTTTTTTCATGACCCATTGACTTTAAACAAGGTTGTTCCTACAAGCATGAGTCGGTGGTTATTTACTGGAGCTCAGCAACTTAGCGGTGGCTACCCTGCTGAAGAAAGTGACTCTCTCCAGCAACCATTAGCTGCCAATAGATCCTCAGGGAGGTATGGGGTTTCCTAAGGCCCTCCCCTATCTATGACACAGTGTCTAAATTAAAGTCATAAAAGAATATTACACATGATTGTACAAGTATAAATGCCAAATGTAACCAAATTGCATGCACTTTATGGCCATGCCACACAGAGGTGGCAGATAGTGAAGATGATTACTTTGCCCTTAGAAGGCATATCTGGTATGGAAGAAGAAGGCTTATGTGATGGGGAGGAAGCACAAAAAGGCTTAAACTATTATGTTCTTAAGGTGAATTTATAATACAACATATGCATGTTTAAACATTATATGAATATATGCTGTATATTTTGATATGGCACATTTCATTTTAAAGTATTTTAAGGTAGATTTAAATTGGATGAAAATAAAAAAACTTCCATCAGCAAAGACCAAAAATAAAATAATGATAAATACATAGCCCCAACATGAAAACATGTGTTGAATAACCCAAATAATAACTTGAGTGAATGAAAGGAGTGCCTTTTTCAGTATAAGACACAGTATCATGAAAATGTCAAAGATATGGTTTAAAATGTCAAATTTGTCAGAATTCTCTTCTAACTTTTTAATGTATGTGGTGACTTTCAACTTGATGCAAACAGCAATTCTAAGTTCTTTTATCATTTCCATGAAATGTCTCTCATTTTTTAAATCTTTCTCTGAGAAGTGAAGCTAACTTCAATAACTGGATAGCATTTTGCTGCCCACCTGGAGTGAATGCACATTGAAGGATGGAGCCTGTATTCCTGTGGTCTTCCACTGGAAGTCTATCTCCAGCTGTAGCAACGTCACACCATTTGGCCCTGTTGCAACCTATGCATTTAAGGAACGTGACCGGAAAAGAGACATCATCTCCCCTTCTAACTTCTCAAATAATGCCTGAATATAGCATCTTCACAACTTTATTTCCTAATTAAGAAAGTGTCATATTTAGAAAAGATTTTAAGTGACAGTATTTGTCAAGCTGTTTGTTTAGTGATCTCTCTAGATGCACTGTTACACAAAAACTGCCTTAATTAAGGTTAATTGGAACATAATTAAAGTCACTGCTGATTGAAAAGATCCCACAGTGGTAACACAGTGAGGATCCTTAATGTTCACACTTTTGGACTAAGCCACGTAAAGCAACCAAATTTCAAAATGTGCTTTGCTTTCAACACAGGCTATGCCTGATTTAGAAGCTTCGCACTATATGTCTTCCATAAGGGGTTGGGTGGGACTAGTTTTAAAGTTCTTTTGCTTTTTAAATTTCTAATGTATTTTGACTAATATTTTTTGAATATGTAATGTACCTGACTGACTTGTTAAAAAGTAAGGCAAATATCATTTGATTCTAAATATATTAAACTCCATATATATATATGATTCAGTTGAACTGCATTTATTAATTTATGAATATTTTGACACTAATCTATGTGAAGACCCAGAAGAAACAGTTTTTACAGTCATGTTGGCTGCAGACCGTATGTTGAATAAACTGGGTCAGATCATGTGTCAACTTCCTTCTTGGATATCTGTAGCAGCTGCACATCTGTTCACTTTCTCTAGTTGGCTGTTGCTTTGTAATTGTTTTAGAAAACATCTTCTATCTTCACCTCAGAGAGTTGAAATGCTCATAAATTTATAAGGTAATTTTTTGGCAGGCCGGATCCACTTTAGCCCTCTGACATGTTTGTATATTCTTCAAAGAATATTTCACTGCTTGAGAGAACGGATTTACTGCTCAATAGAGAAAGAATAATACATGCTATGAGGCATATCTCTGGCTTTGTGTTCAGTTTGAATATGTTGGGTTTTTAGCTGACAAACCTTTGATAAAATTAGCCCTTTAATTTTCTTATTGACTCTCATGTAACCCAAAAAGAAAGGTTCAAATGCCACCAGTAGAATATGTTTAGATAAGTAGAAGTTTGAGATTCTTTCCAAGGTGGGCAAGCCTTACTGTTTGCCCATTTGGAGACTGAACCACTGTGAATACTCAGCGGGTGGCCTCTTCCTACATGATAACAAGGAAAATCAGTGACAATTTCCATCTCAAAGTGAAGCTGTGTCATCAGTTTGAAATAAGAGGTTCAGAGTCCGACATGGGCATGACAAGTGGGTCTCTTATCTAATGGTGTTTTCTAACTTGTAAGGTGTTGGATCACATGCTCAGAAGGCCAAAAATTTATCACATGAAAGAGGTGGCCTCTTTTTAGAATTTCATTATTCAGAACAGTAGTAAATATAGGGACTTTGGGTTAGCATATACCTGTTAATTCTGCATGCCATCATCCTGTAAGCCTCAGCAATTTACATGTTTTTAGGAAATTGAGAAGCAATGAAATACATGAATGTCTATTGCTCTGCTGAACATGACTAAATCTCCTTAATGGCTTTGAAGGCTGTTCAGGACTTTACCATTCCTCCGTGTAATCATTAAAAACAACGCTCTCACTGAGCTGAACAGCAAACATTAACTGAAGGAGGCATTGGCTGATGTGCTTTTGTGCTGTGACACACTCCACTTATTTATTGAACAAAATGCTGGTAAGTCTGTTCACTGTTCACTCTCTACATATATCTCAAGGTGTAGCACTGAGGGCATTGATGGGTAGTCTAGCTTCCCATTATAATTGTTCCATATGGAACATTCATTGGACAAAGCATCTATCTGCAGGGGTGGGAGGATATACATAGTTCTTAAGTCATTCTGTTGTTGAATGTCTTCCACAGGAAGATTTTAGAAAAAAAAAAAAACCTTCATTTTGTGCTATTTATTTCTACTTTCTAATTATAAAGGAGTCCACTTCTTTATGGCTCCTCATATAAATGCCAAGAATTAATGAGAACAGCACAAGTCAGTCCTACTTAGGAGGTGGTTTTACATACAAGTTAGGGTCTTCTAGTTAACATAACTGAGAGAAGACTAATAATTTGATAAAAAAATAAAATAAAATCTTGACCATTTAAAAAATCTCCTTTCGGATCAGCAATACAGTAAATAAATGGAGCATTTCTGTGAAGTATGGAGGGAGAAAGACATTAGATTGAATCATTTGAAATTGCAGGTTTTGTGGGTCAGTAGTGGTCAAGTATTGGCAATTTCATGTGGTTCATCTAAACAGGCGACAGGCAGATGCTTTTAGGCTATAAATTTTAAATCTAAAATGATCTAAGGACAACTTGCCTTTTACATGTAAAATGAGATTTCCTAGGCAGTCATATTATAGTGATTTGAATTTAAAATAATCTGTTTGTGAGAAGCAGAGAAAAAGAGAGATATAGCTCTTACCCTGTTAGACTGGAAAAGGAAAGGCAGGGCTTGTCAATAAAGTCATTGCACAAACTCCCAGCATGCCTTTGGCAAGCAAGGTGTTTTTTTTTTTTTTTTTTTTTTAAATATCCAAGATAGATTTCAGAGAGTTACATTAAAATGGGGACCATTTGGGCATATCTTTCCCCATACATTGTTGATTTCAAGCTACAAAAATATCTTTGCATAAGTCTTTGCATTGGCTTAAAGATGTGCAGAGCCTTATAAAAAAATTGCATCAATTTTGTATATTAAAACCATGCTGAGATTTTGTTTATTGTTCATTTCAAGATATGTAAAACCTTGTTTTCTATGCAATTAATATTGCTCAATTACAAGTTCATATTGAAATGAGACCTACGTTTCCATAGCCACTTTAGTAGGATAAAAAAATATGCCTAACTTCAAGGAAATTTATTTAAATTCTTCGTAGAGTTGAATGCTTAGAACACAATTTCAGTCTCAAAATATCTCCATAGTCATCAGTAATCTAGCAGTTTAAATATCTTCATTCTTCCTTTGAATAAATGAGGTATATGTATTTTTGAACTCACAACCATGTGAATTTTGGTTAATTCTGGTTAATTTTGGTGAATTTGGTTAATTTGGTAAATATGGTTAAAAACTCATATCTGAATTCATACCTTTGGTGTTCAATGTTTTATATTGTTAGTTTTTAAATAGTCATACTTACAACTGAGTGAGAATCAATTAACTCCAAGAAAACAACTAAACTTTAATATATATCTACTGCTCTGTACTTATATTGCAATATATAATTGATATACTGATGCCAAACTGTTGTATAACATCCATCTATCGAGTTTTGTGTATATTCATCAAACAAAACAATTTATTCCATACCAATATGACAGGCATCAAACAAGGACTTTATGTCTTAGCTAATTTAGTTGTCACAGCTCTACTAATCACTATAGTTATCTGTCCTCAAGTATGAAGAATCAAGTAGCTGGTGACTAGAAGTAGACCTGAGGTCAGGTCTTATATCTCTCATAGTATAAGAACTGCTGTGAAATGCATTCTGCAATATGATTTTGAAATATCTACAAATAATATGCTTTATATTTTAATAAAAATTACCTGTGTGTTTTTCTAAAGTGCCAACTCTTATTTAGTAAATTTGGGTGATAGAGAACCTTTTGGACCATGGATCCACCAGGAATATTGAGGGTCTACACTATGGCATGTAGGGTAGGGTAGAAAGTTATGGCCTGCACTTAAAGCAGATATCCCAAAAGAAGCAGGTATCTCAAACCTATAATGACATAATAGGGCTGTGATAGTAGGTCTCATATTTCCTTCAGTACACAAAACTAAATGGGAGTCAGGAGATTGAGGAAATTTTGACAAAATTATTTTTATTTGGGTAAGTGCTACAAAACAGAAGCAAGGAAGAAATGGTCAGAAATAGGACAAGTCCAAATGAAATACAGCAGAGTGAAGTGGATGTGTTGAGGCCTAGACTCATCATTGTATGTTGAACAACTTCCAGCAAGAGGATAGTTAGGAAAATAATAAAGCATTTGAGAGTATACTCTTATTGGTGTATGAATCACATGGAACTGTCAAAGTGAGTCTGATCCCTTTTCTTCTCCTGGGAGGCAGAAGCCATTATTTACATGCTTGTCTATGAACAGATGAGAGCAGAAAAGAGTTTAACTGTGATCAGCTCCTCTTGACTCAGAAAGGTTATCTACTTCCAGATTTTCATAGCAAAGATCAATTTGCTATGTAAGTTTTAATGTCAAACTTTTTAATCCTAATATTGATAGCATAACCTGAGAGCTCACTAGAAATACAAATATTTGCTCCCCATATTATACCCACCAAACTGAAACCTGTATTTTAGCAAGACCACCAGGCAATTTTTATGTACATTAAAGACTCAGGGATTCAGGAAAAGGCAGGTGCCCAGAAATAATGTCTAACTGGTTGCGTAAGTTGTGTGGCTTCACAGACTTTTGACAAAGTCAGACTTATAGACACCCCAGAGAGATGGAGCCCAGAGCTCCCAAGGCTATGGCTCAGCCAAATCAGAGGTTCCAGTGCACAGCCACTGCTGGAAAAGCTGTTTGCCTTAGCTAGTTAACACCAGGCAATGTTACCTAGGTAACATGGACACTCGGTAGGATTGCCTCTTGGGGTCATTATATTTGTACCAGTTACTACCCTGGAAATATCAACAGTCACTCTTCACAGGATCCAAAACTAACGGAATTTGCAGCACAATCCAACAACACTTGGGTGACCTTGTAACACAGCCCAGAAATAAACATGTTGGAAGCTAAAATAGTTTAAGAAAAAAAAATGTTGGTTTCTCCTATATCATGATGGTTTCCTTCTTTGTTAGAATTTCCTCTTAAAGACATCTCAAAATAACCTTAGGCTTAATGTTGCCAAAAGCAAAAGCTATGTTACCAACAGCTCAAGTCCCTTGCCTCTTCTCTATTATGATACAAGATAGTACATTCATTTTTGTTGTTGGCTTAGAGGTTGTACTGTTAGCACGTTGTGTTTGCAAACTACCTCATGTAACATTGGTTTGGATCAGGTTTATGGACTTAGCTGAGCAGTTCTTTAGGCCATCGATGCATTTGTGATTAGTAGATGTATGTTTACATTGGGCATCGTAAGCAGGCATTTCCTTTCTTATGAGTGTGGCCCCTCAACTTGCAACAGCAGGACTCAAACTTGTTTATATATCAAAGCCTGACTCCCTGTGGATTGCAAGGCTAAGTCTGAGGCTAAGTTGGTACTGGCTCAGTATCACATCTACTGTACTCCTTTGACAAAAGGAAGTCACATACCTCCACAGCAAAGTCAAGGGTGGGGAAATACACTGAAAATGTCTCCCTGTCATACTGTCATCACCATGAAGGTCAGGGGAAGACTTTTGCCCTTTTCTCACACAATCTGCTGTGATAAAAAAAAAATTAGGAGTCTTTCAATGAGAGGGTCCATGTTTTGTTCAACTTGATTTCTCTAATACCATCTTTTCAAAGTACATGGCATTTTCATCATTTAATAAATGTCTTGGAAAATTTTGCTTGATTTTATTTTTATCTCTAAATAAACTTTGAAATCCCTAGCCAGAAGTTAAATTCTACTGAAATGTGATGCTTATCATACTCCTGAAGGCATCTGACCATGTCACTTCCAATGTACTACTTTTGCTGTTGAATTGTTTTTAGCTGAAAAAAAAAAACTTCAAAAAAAAAAAAAGGCTCAGAAAGCGCTCTCTCTCTCTCTCTCTCTCTCTCTCTCTCTCTCTCTCTCTCTCTCTCTCTCTCTGTCTCCTAGGAAGTCATAGATTTTCATTGTAAAGGTATCTTTTCCCCAGTACAAAAAATTAAGGACGCTGAGATTGCTCATTTTCATTGTAATGGGATCTCCCTTTCCAGTCCCCGAAAATAAGAACTCTGAGATTGCTCATCACTGAAAATAATATGGAACCACGCCTGCATCAACAGACTTACTAAACATCCTAACTGCCATTAGTTTCCCTCACGTAGTCTCCTAGCCACAGTGTATAACTCCCTTGAAACTGAAAACCACTTTTCTTCATCTAATCGCCTCTCTACAACTTGGCACCTTTGTTAAAACAGGATAGATAAGATACAGGTCTCAAAGTCGACTCTTTCTTGGTATTCTGTCTTTTGTTTCTCCCTGAAGCCTTTTTGCACTTAAATTGTTTCTGCTATAAATTTGTCTCTTATCAATTTAATTTATAAGCCTCAGATGTAGAAACTAAGAGGAACAAGGAAAATTCTGTCTTCCTGTACACTTACAAAAATTATACTCACTAGGATACAGGAATATAGAAAACATAGTATTTTAGTATCTTTTTTGGAAAATAAGTCTAGCTTGTTTTAGCAAAATTTCTCACAAAATCTCCCTCAACTGATATTATAACATAATTTACAAAGATAACTTTTATAGAAACACTAAGGACATAAGAGTATCAACTGGAAGCTTCACACAGATATCCGAGGGAGTCTCAATTTGAAGATTGTCTTCATCATATTGGCCTTTGGGCATATTTTTGGGGGATTTTTTTTTTTAAATTTATTTAGGATGGCCTAGCTCACTGTGGCTAGAACCATTCCTAGTCAGAAGTCTTGGGCTATGCAAGAAAGCAAACTGATTTTTTGATTGTTCATAGCAGCATTATTCGTAATAACCAGAACCTGGAAATAACCTAGATGCCTGTCAACTGAAGAATGGATTAAGAAAATGTGGTGCATATACACAATGGAGTACTACTCAGCAGAGAAAAACAATGACAGCATGAAATTTGTGGGCAAATGGATGGAACTAGAAAATTTCATCCTGAGTGAAGTAACCCAGATCCATAAGGACAAACATGGTGTGTACTCACTAATAAGTGGATACTAGATGTAAAGCAAAGAACAATCAGACTGCAACCCACAGACCCAGGGAGGCTACATAGCAGGGAGGACCCTAGAATGACTATGGCATATAATAAGTTTTGGTATTATTCAATCACTGGGCAAGCCTCAGTGAAACATTTCATGATTAGGATAAGAATTTATACTGTATCAAGCTGATGATAGAAAAATATAATAATAATAATAATAATAACAATGATAAAAATAATAAATTGTTCAGAACTATTCTGTTTGTTCTGAGCCTTTTCTGTTTCTTTATGAAATTTAAGATTATTTTTCAGTTTCTGTGAAAAATTGTAGCTTAGGGTTTCTATTGCTGTGAAGAGACATCATGACCACAGCAACTCTTATAAAAGAAAACATTTAATCAGGTGTTCATTCAGAGGTTCAGTCCATTATCATCATAGCAGTGAGCAAGGCAGCGTGCAGACAGATATGATGCTGTAAGAGGAGCTGAGAGTTCTTACATTTTTACCCACAGACAACAGGAAGTGGTCTGAGACACTGGGCTTGGCTTGAGCATATATGAGACCTCAAAGCCCACCTCCACAGTGACACACTTCCTCCAAAAAGGCCATATCTATGCCAACAAAGCCACAAGTCCTAATAGTGCCACTCTCTGTGAGCTTATGGGGGCCAATTACATTCAAACCACCACAAATTTCATTAGAATTTTGGTGGAGGGAGCACTGAATCTGTAGATTGCTCTTTGTATGATGGCCATTTCACATCAATCCTAACAATCTATGAGCATGGAAGATCTTTCCATCTTCTTTGATGTCTTGAAGTTTTCACTGAATAAGTCTTTTATTTCCCTGGTAACATTTATTCCAAGGATATTCATATTTGTAGGCTTTTGTGAATGGTACAGCTTTGCTGATTTCTTTTTCTTTATATTTGTCATGTGTGTATAGGAAGGCTCCTGACATTTGTGTGTTTATTTTGTAGTTTCTTATTTGTTGACTGTGTTTACCAGGTGTAGGAGTTTTCTGGTTGAATCTTTATGGTCTTTTCTGTATAGAATCCTATCATCTGCAAAAAGGATACTTTAACTTCTTTTCTTATTTGTATCTTCTTAGCTTGACTTACTGCTCTAAGACTTCAATTACTAACTCAAACATGAGAAAGGGTTATGGATATGCTTTTCTTTTTCCTGATTTTAATGAAAACTCTTTGGAAATTCCGGCAGTATCATCATACGAGTTTTCTCGTTAAACTACAAAGCTATAGTAATTTAAAAAAAAAAAAACAAGACAGCATAGTATAGGCATAAAAGCAGATATGTTCATCCATGGAATAGAATTGAGGACTCATATATAAGTTCATATTCCTAAAGCTACGTGATTTTTTTTTATAATGAGTCCAAAATATACAATGGAGAAAAGACATACACTTCAACAAGTGGTGCTGGTCAAATTGGATAGCTACATGTAGAAAAATTAGAAAAATTAAACTACATTCTTGTTTTTCACTTTGTACAGCACTCAACTTCAAAAAGATCAGCAACCTCAGCATAAGACCTGATATCCTGAATCTCTTAGATAAGAAAGTATGGAATATGCTTGAACTGATTAGCACAAGAAAGGATTTTCTGAACTGGTCCCCAGTAGTTGCAGACATTAAAAATAACCAGTCAACAAATAGGACAACATGAAACTAAAATGTTTCTGCACAGCAAAGAATACTATCATTCAAATGAAGAGTTAGCCTATGGAATGTGAGAAAATCTTTATCAGCTATATATCTGGCAGAGGTTTAATATCTAAATATACAAGGAACTCAAAAAAAGTAAACCCAAAGAAAACAAACAACACAATTTAAAAATGACACAAAGAACTATACAGAGTTCTGCAAAGATGAAATATAAATGGTGGAGAAATATGACTTTAAAAGTCCAACATATTTAGCATTCAGGGAGATGAAAATGAACATGAATACTGTACCCCATTCTCCAAATCTAGGCGATGCTGGCCTAGATTTGGAGGAAGAGGTACAGTTATTCAGTGTTCATTGCTAGATGGGAAAAATACTGGTGCAACTATTATAGGCTCTACATCCTTTTACAGAGATACTTGCATATTCATGTTCATTGCTCTTCTATTCACAATAGCCAGGAAGTAGAAACTGCCTTGATGTCTATCAACAGATGAATATACATCAATGCAAGATGTGATACATTTATGGGAATGTATCAAATAAGAAAAATTAAATTATGAAATTTGAAGATAAATGGATAGAGCTGAAAGAAATCATGTGAGAGGTAATTCAGACTCACAAAAAACAGATACTATATTTCTTTCTTTCTTCTTTTTTTTTAATTGTGTGGTGGAGAGCTATTATCTTTGAATCTTTAGATTTGGAATACTCACAGAGGTCAGGAAATTAGTAAGTGACCATGATGAGGGGTGATTTTCCGGAAAGAAAAGAAAGAATGTAGTGATAAAAGAGAGGAAAGACATAATCGGTTAAAAAGGGGGGAGATGAAAGGACAGGGTAAAAGAGGGAATCTGGAAAAGGGATGACTAATACTAATTGCTGTGGATATCGCTCTGTATAAATAAAACACTGATTGGCCAGTAGCCAGACAGGAAGTATAGGCGGGATGTGGTGATAATCTAATTGTACTGAATTATTATTTTGATTGTATGTTAATAAATAAAGTTGTCTGGGAGTCAGAGCTATTAGAGCCATAGCAAGAGTGTGGCGGTGGTGGCACACGCCTTTAATCCCATAGATATCTGTGTGTTCAGGGTCAGAGCTATTAGAGCCATAGCAAGAGTGTGGCGGTGGCGGCACACGCCTTTAATCCCATAAGATCTCTGTGTGTTCAGGGATACAGCCAGCATTGGAGACATATGCCTTTAAGACCTAGGGGGCTGTACATTCAGACAGTGACGAGGCAGTCATGTGTTTGGGTTTACAACCAATGAGAAGGCAGAACAACATACTTTAAAAATACGAACCGACAGGAGGTAGGTCTCTTTTCGCGAAGCTGGGACAGCAGGAGGAAGGGTGAGATTTTAGCTCTGAGCTCTGACCTCTCGGCTTTCTCTTTTACATTGTTTCTGTGTTTCTTATTTAATAAGACGGTTGGTTACATCTACAGCGGGACTAACAGAGAGGAGAACTGAGGAAACAGGAAGGCAGAGAGGGCGACACTGCCTGCAGCTGCCTCCAGAACAAGGAAGATGTAAGGTACCAGTAAGCCACAAGCCACGTGGTAAAGTATAGATTGATAGAAATGGGCTGAATATAAGAGTAAGAGCTAGACAATGATAGGTCTGAGCTAATGGCCAAGCAGTTTAAATAATATAAGCGTCTGTATGTTTATTTTATAAGTGGGCTAAGGGACTGCCGGGGCTTGGTGGAACCCGAAGAAAAAACTCTCCAGCTACAACTAATAACCTTTTGGAACGCATATGAAAAACTATTACTAAAGAAGCTTCAAAAAATATAAACATATACATATGTAAAATGATTTTAAATGTAGTTACCATGTAATGGAGCAACAGTGCCCCTAAGAATAAATAATACAGACTTACAAATAAAAGCCCAAAGTCAGGAATGAGTTGTTGGCCAGTGATGCTCCATAGACACCCCATCCTCATTATTATTGCTTTTAGTTACTTTCCAGGACTTGATGGAAATATTCTGTTCCTGAAGACATCACATACTTGAATCATACAATATGGGGAAATCATGCTGGTATTGACTTGGAGGCTTCATTACTACTGGCTAGCTTTCATAGTGCTAGAAGTTGTTATTCATGCTGTGGAGTAGAAAGTAATCATCAGTCTTATCCAGCAGTGAACCCTTCAAGCTACAATAACAACATTCCTGGTAAAATATGCTCACTGGTGCAATAATAGCAAGAATGTCATGGGAGTAACGAACTACTTTTCGATTATATTTAAACTCCATTTCAGAACACAGAACCCATACATGGCACAGTTATTGTGGCTAAGACCCTATAGCGAGATGGGTCATAGACCCTGAGGGAGACCCTACTAGTGTTAGTCTGCTTATGGGAAATAGTATTAAACTGACTCCTAACAGTGTCTCATAACATCTGTAATTAGTACATCTCTCTATCTTCATCATAGACACTTTCTCTTTGCAATAGGTAGGGACTAACACAGAGACTCACAACTGATCAAGGTGCAGAGAATAAGTGGATGAAGAATGCTCAGCTCTAAATAGGACATATATACAGTAACTCCCCTCCCAAGGCTCAGGGATCATTGTAATGAGGGAGTGAGGGGACGAAAAGATTGTAAAAGTCAGATGCAGTGGGTGACTACACAGAAACTGTTTTCTGGACACAGCAGTACAGTTGCACATATAAACTCAGGGTAGTTGTGACAGCTTGCATACAACCTGAGCAAGCTTAAACAAGACAAAATCCCAGCATGGAGAGGGGATATAGGTATTCACCTATAGCTGAGGAACTTTTGATTATTGAGAGCTGCTGTGAAAGAGAGCGTTAGTGCCCTTTCAGGATGTGACCTCTGGTAAGTCTAACATTCTAGTGAATGGCCAGAAACCTAAGAGTATGCAATCAGCACTAAGGGAATTATATGGGTTTAAAAAAACAATCAATGACACAAAGTTTTGTGGGTAGGAATGGGAGAGGTGTATTTGGGAGGAGATAAAAGAGCGGGAATGAATATGATCAAAATGCAATGCATGAACTTCTCAAAGAACTTATAGAAAATATTTTTATGTTATTCATTGTTTTATTCCATGCTTATATACATAAATAAGGAAACAATACAGGTAATTGACAAATTATGAAAATTTGCATTTAAAAGATAGAGTGAGTGGGGGTAATGAAGGGCAAGGGTCGAGGGAAAGAGAGCTTAGGGGAGCGGGAGATCCCAGCTGGATCAAGAACAGAGAGGGAGAAAAAGGAATAAAAGACCATGATAAATGAAGACCACATGAGAATAGGAGAAGCAAAGTGCTAGAGAGGCCCACAGAAATCCACAAATATAGCCCCACAATAGACTACTGGCAATTGTCGAGAGACAGCCCGAACTGACCTACTCTGGTGATAGGATGGCCAAACACCCTAATTGTCATGCTAGAAACCCCATCCAATGACTGAGTGAACTGGATGCAGAGATCCATGGCCAGGCCCCAGGTGGAGCTCCAGGAGTCCAATTGGCAAGAAAGAGGAGGGTTTCTATGAGCGAGAATTGTTGAGACCAAGGTTGGATAAAGCACAGGGACAAATAGCCAAACAAATGGAAACACATGAACTAAGAACCAATAGCTGAGGAGCCCCCAACTGGATCAGGCCTTCTGGATAAGTGGGACAGTTGATTGGCTTGATCTGTTTGGGAGGCACCCAGGCAGTGGGACCGGGTCCTGTACTTGGTGCATGAGTTGGCTGTTTGAAACCTAGGGCTTATGCAGCAACACTTGGCTCAGCCTGGGAGGAGGGGACTGGACCTGCCTGGACTGAATCTACCAGGTTGAACTCAATCTTCAGGGGAGTCTTTCCCCTGGAGGAGATAGGAATGGGGGGTGGGCTGGAGGGAGGGGGGCCAGAACAAGGGAATCCGTGGCTGATATGTAAAATTAAATTAAATTATAAGATAAAAAAGTAAATAAATGATAGAATATAATATACTCCAATGACAACAAAGGGGCTTGAATTATAGTTTACTGGTAGAGTTATTGCTTCACAAATACAAAATCCTGGTTTCAATCCAAGTATGAAAATGTCATAATTGACAAATAAACAAGAGAAAGCCACAGCACAGACACTGGAGGTCTGGAAGTATAATTTCTTAGAGGCTATCAAGGCTTAGGCCTTCCAGAAACATTTAGGAGCTGGAGCAACTGTTATGGATAGTCAGCCCTGAACTCATATATCTCACTTCATTTTAGTCTCACTTCACATTGTGTCTGTACAACGTACATGAACATATTTGGGATTAACTATCAACTTTCTGACTTTTTGCCATAAGTACCTTTGTGAATACATGACACTTTCTGAATACAGGAAGACAACTTTAGTTAAGTAAATTTTCACTCCGATTCACCATTTAAAAATTCATCCAAAATGCTTAATCTTAAGACACAGTTACAAAAATAACTCTATACAACAATATTAATTTGATGTGAACATTGTTATATTGGTGTTTGGATAGAAATTAAAACTGTTTTTGATGTATGTGCCTAGGGTGAGGTATGGGAAAGGAGGGAGCTATTTTGGGGGAGGGTCTACTTGATTTGACTTTTCACACATCAAATATCTGCATGTACTGAACACTTCTTTCACTATCTTTTTCTGAAAATAATGCTTTTTGTTACACACTTTGTCATTGCATATAAAATAAAACTGCAGTCAAGATGTAAGATAAGTAAATAAATTTTAAAAAGATAAAATAAACGCATACTTAAATGTTAACAGTTTGGCGAATGAATAACATGTTGCAAAAACAATAGAAAATATTTTTTAAAAGTAAGCTAGCTAAGCAGAGGCTCAGGGTTAAGTCTTCCATAAAGTAGCTTCCCATGATGCTTCCTTCCTGTGTTCCTCCTTGAGTTTCTGCATCAACCTTCCTCAGTGTCAGACTGTTATCTGGAAGTAGAAGATGGTATAAAGCACTTAAAAGTTGCTTTTGATCATAGTGTTTACCAAAGCAGCAAAATGGTAACTTGGACATCAAATGTAAAGGAAAGTATGGTATAGTGATATGCAGAATACTAAGTATCCATTAGGAAGATAACAGAATTATAAAAACATTAGATAAAGGTATTTATTTGAATTTTTATAATTTATATTCATATAGCATCTATGAGTATAACTTAGACTTCTATGCAAGTTTACTTAAATAACTATGTTACATATTATAAAGTTATTTCTACATCATTTTCCATGATTTGTATAAACAAAAGACAGGAACCAGAACTAAATATATTACAGGAATATAACTGGGAAAATAATTATATGTCTTCCCATATATATGTGTATATGAATGTGTGTCTAGTTAAAATATGATTTTAATAAAGTTCATGTATTTTAATCTTTTAATATATTTCTATTTGACAATCACCCTGCAATATAAATGTACACACACACACACACACACACACACACACACACACACACACACACACACAGAGTAAGCATGGCAAAATTAAGGAGGGATTGAGAGAAGACAGTCATTTGTTTTTTAGGAATTCTTTAATAACAACACAAATTGCTATGTAGTTATTAAAATGTTCTCTTTCATTCTGGCAGGACCAGAGTAAAATTATCTAGAAAGTTCATGCCTGGAATGAACTCAATAGTTCAAATACTTCCTTACTCACAAAAATGATTTATTCTGGAGAGCATCACTAGGAAGGTGATTTTATTTCCAACCATCAGATCAGTGTCCTATTGGGACAAGGACCTCATGTTGCTGGCCTCACTGCAGAGGGTAAGGAAAATCCTGAAGAAAATATCCCACTGGGAGTGTTTTGGTAGACTCAGGCATAGGGTAAAGAGGGCATAGGATAGCAGACAAACCTCAGGAGACCTAGTGAATAAAAAAGGCATGGAACAAGCTCTGCCTCTTGGTCACATGGATATAGAGGGGCTAACTGGAAAGGATGCTAAGTGGAGTCAACACGGCCCTGATTGGAACCATTCGCTGTGATATCCTGCTTTTCAGGAATGACAGTCTCATTTCATCAGCACGTTTTATCTTAGTCAACAGACCTTTGCCTTCTTTTTCCTTCTTGTTTCTCTCTTCTGCTTTTCATATATGTCTTACCATTTGAATCACTCCTAATTACCTATTGATCAGCATGTAACCCCCCCCCCCCAACATGATTCAGATTTCTGTGAAGGTCACAACTTCCCTTTACACTTGCACATCATTCCTAACCCTGTGTACTTCAGTAGTCCCTTCTAAACCATTTAAAATGCCTCCACTTCACAGTCTTTTTCTCCTGATTTATAGGCACAGGATGTCGGGGACTTTCTTCAGGCTAGCTCATTTAAATATTAAAACATTTCATTAGTGTGCGACTGCCTTTATATTTCAGCTTTCATGGCCTGTGCTTTTACTAAATTAATAGTCAGCACTTCCATAGCATTTGTGATTTTTCAAAGCAATTCGCAAATATTAATTAATGCTAATGCTACCCTAAGAGAATGCTGTAACTAGCTAACTGACTGAACTTTATCTTGAATTATTTTTAAATGGTTTTCAACTTGGGAGGGAAGTTGGGGAGAAAGTACAGGCATCTGTAGTGTTCGGTGTCATGTGCTGCTGCCTAAATGTAATGATGCAGCAAATTGAACCGAATCATCCTCAGAGGATATTAAGGTTGGATCCATCTAGAATTAATCAGCTTGAAGAATTACCTGTTGCTTAAACTGCATCAACGAAAACAGTGCTTGGAATACATATCTGGAGAGAAAAATAGCTCTTACTCTGAGCATCCTTTCTTTCTCTACTTTAATTAAAATCCTACAATTCTATTATTCTTTCCTAACCTTTTAACATTAATTCCAAATGCATGAATAATCATAAAAGATTAATAGATTAAAAATAAGATTTGCTCTGCAGTCAATTAGTAGGCACTTATTAATGCTCACTATGTGTCCAACTGCTACTTCTAAGAGGAACGAAGAAAACAATAAACAAAGATCAAAACAACAACCTGGTGTTAGAATGTTTTCAAATGTAACTCTAAGTCAAGCTGACAGGTAAAAATTCATTGTGCAAAACATCACTCTAAGTCTACAAAGTATAGTGGGAAAGGGGGAAATAATCTACAAAGTAGAGTAGCGAGGAGGGAATCCTCTACAAAGTATAGTGGGGAGTGGGATTCTTCTACAAAGTATAGTGAGGAAGGGGATCCTTGTGGAGTAGAAAAACTGTGTAGTATTTCAAGGAAGAACTACATCCAAACTGGGATTTTTCAAATGATGTGCTGACTCTCAGATTAACATGAAGCATAAAGTGAGCCTTGGAAAGTTCTTGAACAAGAGGTGGCAAAGGTCAAAGATCTGCTCTAAGCTAAAAGTCATGACCATGATCCTGAAAGCTGGAGGGATGGAACCTTAATTTCTGGACCTTATGGGAGGCAAGGGAAACTGGTTTGAGAATGGAGTGTAACTAGAAGGTAATCATATGACTGTAGCTTAAAATCCTCGTTAGACAAGCTGGAGGGACCCAAACTTCTCCAGGGATATGTGCCAGGGTTTAAGCATTGCCAAATGCTATTAAACATGTTGAGTGTTATTGAGTTTTGTGCTATCTTTCTTTAAATCTTTATCCTAGTAACCTTATAGTGTGTGTTCTTTCAATGAGCCTCTAGAAGTGTGCATTCTGGTCCATGAATCAGCAGGTACATCCTGCCCTATGATTGGTATCCCTTAGTGAAAACCTGACAGCCAATTAGCTAATTTTTCTGACCACAGACCACACCATCCTCATGTCAATGTAGTTTGGACACGTCATGCTCACTTTTAAAACACTTTAATTTCAAGGCATAGCTTTTGTTCTAATAGATCTGGTCCTAGTCATGACCATTTCAGAAACCTGGCAGTAAGTCATCAAGACACAATGAATACAATGTAGAAGTTGTGGTTGTTCCTTATATAAGAGCTGTTACTGAATTCTGTTTGGGCACTGTGATAGGAGGAACTAGAATCGGTGCTGTGATTGGTGTAAACACAAACCTTCATTTGCTTCTGGCTGTATAAATATATTATTTCGCTCACTTTTAGCATGAGCAGTCAGGCACCTTCCTGTGCTATCCCTGGTGATGCAGCATTTGGTGCCATAAAAGGATTTTCTCTAGTATGATTTTCTTGCTTACTTAGCTCTGTCATGAATAGAGAAGTCTGAAGTAATAATATGAAAAAGAGATGGAAAAAGCAGATGAAGAAGTCTTAGAAAGCATCAACAAAAACAATAAAACACAGTGGAAGGAGGTGAAAGGAGACAGAGAGCCAAGACTATGAAAGTCAGGAATTTCTCAAGAATAGAATATGAGAAATTGCAGACTCTGGTCACTTAAAAACACATAGGGACTAAGGATTCCAATATGTAAGGCTGGCTGATGTCAGGAGCAGGATCCAGGCATTTGGAGTTTGAGAAGTATCACTATGGCCTTTGTTGCTGGCAATGCCAATATAAGTGATATGGAGATTTAGAGAAAGTAACACATCAGAAGTATGTGTACTGGGCCCTAGGTAAATCAATGATAAAAATTTGGAGTAAATGATAAGGAAAAGTTCAAGCCTGTTCTTTTAAACCTTTATTGGTTTACCCAATTAAACATTCTACCATCATTGCCCTCTGTATGTATTTTCCTCTGGGAAGAGAATACATGTTATGAGACTTGAGTTTCCCTTTCTTGGGTTATGCCAGCCTTCTCTAAACGACCTTCCTGCAAGAATAAAAATAAACACCTCAAAGCACTGAAAAACTGAATATGTTTAAATTTATTTACTGAGATGACACTAAGGTAAAGAATCAAAGTAGCATATGTGGTGGCGGTGGGTGGAAGAGGGGAGTAGCATGTGTTCAGAAAGTAGCATGAAACCAATGTCAAGTTTGACAGATATGAGAGCTGAGTGGGTATACTAAAGATGGTAGCATCCCTGCATTCCTCTGGTGTTCTAGGAAAAGGCATTCATACTCTTTGGAGGATGTCAAAAAAACATAAATGGATATTTGAGATCTAAACAGTTAGACAAATTTAGTTGATACCTGGGTCTACAGTTGTCCCAACATTAGGAAAACAAAGCAGGTGTTTGATTCATGCTCATTGACTTGACATAACAAGGTATGGATCTTCCATTCTTCAAAGGATGTAAGGTAGGTGTATCTGGGCATGAGAATTTTTTGACAAGAAAGAAAACGATGCTTACCTTCTATGAGTGACTAAGTTTGAGAATCTGATCCTACTTTTAAAATGCAGACCTTATTTTATATTACTGAGGCTGTGCCTTTTGAAAGCATCTCAGGACCAGCTCTGCTTTTACCATTATCCAACCTCAGGTTATTCAAGGATCTGAGCACAAAGCAAGACTTATACTCTATCCTAAATCTGCCAGCAGCAACTGTTAAGCAATACAAAGTACCAGATAAACAACTTCGAGTAATAACTTGGATTTAAGATGCTGTTGGAAAAAGTTATGATATAGTCAGAACTTATTCAGCCTGTGTGTTTAATAAACTTCCTTCAGCCCTCGCCTCTTTTACTTTCCCACCATGGGAAGAAAATGAAGTTGATTTTTGTCCTTCCTTGGATTCATCTTATAAACTGCTGTATGAAAAATAAAGTAGAACTTGAATTTAATATTTCAGGTGTCCTGTTTAAAGGTTCTAAATGCCATGTGAGATACTATGTTAGGTGGCAGCAAAGGGAAGAAAATACAAATTATAGAGAGGCACCAGTTGAATTTGCCCAATGACAGAATGTTTTACTAAGAACTAATCCAGCTCCAGAATTTATTCTTTGTTATGGACCTAAATTGAATAAATGAAAATAAGAAAAGTTTAATGAATGTTGCCTTGATTAAAGTGCCATTTGAACAGATCTTGAAAAAATATAGAAGAGGACAATGCAATG